TTTTTTCCAAAACGCTGTTATTTAATTAGAAAGGTGCAGAGAAGATAAAATTCTGGAATTTTTTTTTAATGAGAAACATGCAGAAAAACTAAAATTTTGAAAAAAAAAATTCAAAAAGTTTCATGAAAAATTTTCAACCAGTGACCACGTGACACACAAAAAGATTTTTCTAATTTTTTTTTTTTCAAAATGCTCTTATTTAACGAGAAACATGCAGAAAAACAAAAATTTTGAAAAAACAATTTCATAAATTTTTCACCCTATGACCACGTGACACAGGAAATTTGGTTTTAACCAAAAAATTAAAAAAAAAATTATAAATTTTTTTTATAACATGACACACCAAATTAAGAATTTACCAAAAAATTGAAAAAATATTTTTTCTAAAAATTTGTTTTTTCAAAATGCTGCAACATGCAGAAAAACTAAAATTTTGAAAAAAACAATTTCAAAAAGTTGAAAACTTTTCACCCTGTGACCACATGACACACGAAATTTGGATTCACCATCTGACCACATGACACCAGAAATTAGGATTTTACCGAAAAATTGACAAAAAAAAAGTTTTTCTAAAAAAATTCTTAAAATGCTAATTTGATTAGAAACATGCAGAGAAGATAACTTTTTTTTAAATTTTATTTTTATCAAAAATTTAAAAATAAATCCAAAATATTTTCTTTAAAGCCCCCAATTTGATGAGAAATATTCAGGAAAAGATAACATTTTGAAAAATATTTTTAAAAAGGTTTTTGTCAAATTTTATTAGAATTTGACCAAAAAAAAATTACATGAAAAGTTCAGATTATGACAAAGAAATTCTTAAAAGAAATTTCTAAAAATGTTCTCTAAATCCCTAATTTGAGGAGAAACATGCAGGTAAAGATAAAATTTTGAAACATTTTACAAAACATTTTGTCAAAATTTATTAGAATTTGACTAAAATTGACACGAAAAGTTCAGATTTTGACAAAAGATTTAAGTAAAAAAAAGTCTAAAAATTTCTCTAAAGGCCCTAATTTGAATTCTTTTTTCAAAATTTTTCATGAAAATGTTACACAATTTGACCACATAATGCAAAATTTAGATTTTACGGAAAAAATACAAAAAAAGTTTCAAAATGCTCTTATTTGATGAGAAACCTGTAGAAAAGATACAATTTTGAATTTCTTTTTTTTCCAAAAATGTTCATCTAACGTTTTCACCACCATGACACGCAAAATTTTGATTTTGCCAAAGAATTCTTTTTTTAAAAAAAAAATCTGAAAATATTTGCTGAGAAACATGTAGAAAAAAATATATCTTGAAAAAAAACTTTTCATCATAATTTTCTCACCAAGATGACATGCAAAAATGAGGATTTAGCCAAAAAAATCTAAAAAAAAGGATTTTTCTAAAACATTTCTCAAAATGGTCTAATTTGATGAGAAACCTACACAAAAGATACAATTTTCAATTTTTTCTTTCAAAGAATCTTCAGCATTTTTCATTATCATTCAACATCATAGGGTAGTGGTGGCTTAATGGTTAAGGAAGCGGACTTAGGGCCAAAAGGATTCAGGTTCTGGTGTACCGAGTTAGTCTTTTTCAGAAAATTACAATTTTTGATCAAATGAATTTTTTTCCCCAACAATTTCAAAAAATTAATTGTATCTTGTCATATTTAAAAACCAAACACCATGGTATGATTTTTCGAAAAAACAAAAACAACTTAAAATGCCAAAGGGCTGTAAAATATTTTTTCTTGATAAAGTTTTGCTAAATTTAAATCTAGTGATGTCAAAAACTGACCAAAACAACATTCCATTCCATTTCTTTTTTAATCCAAAAAATGTAATACTCTAAAATGTTCTCCTTAATTAATATTTTGTGTTAAAAAATTCCAAAAATCTTTTTACAATGTTGTGATGTCAACAATTAACCCAAAACAAAATATTATTCTATGACCTTTTTGTAAAATATATGTATGTGTGTATATATATATATATATACACACACACACACACATAGGTGTAGGTTAACAGAATTTTCTGTAATGATGTCTGTGGCGAACATTAAGAAACAAAACACTGTAACAGACATCATGTCAATTTAGTTTCCATCCATTTAATTTCATTTATAGACTTTCAAACAAGTGTGTACAAATTGAAAAACCGGTTTTAGTAACATCTCATTGTTTTCTTACTGTTGTTATAAGTCAATAAGTTAAAGGAATTAAAAATAAACAATGTCATACAATGAAGTTAGAACATCACAGAATGCGTAAAGAAAAAAAAAGTTCTTATTTAAAAATAATCAAGTGCATCTCATCATCAGAAAGTAAAGCTGAAGTCCAAGCCAGATCAAACACTGGTCAGAAGAACAGAAAGACCTCTAACATCATCATTGTACTGGCATCATCATACTGAAGGTGACACTGTCTGCAGAAGTAAAATTTATAGCATGACAGTATTTGTTAGCTTACAGTTGCAATGCGTTATTTGCACACCAGGTGGCGTCACTATCACACACAAAAAACGTGCTGGCAACCACTTCCAACTCCATCAGTTTTCATATTCTGTGCCTGAACAGTGGAATGATGAGAAAAAGAGAATCTGGTGTTCACTAAAAACCCAGGCAATAAAAGGAACGAGTACCAGCTGGAATTTAGAAGCAGCAGGTTTTAGTGTGGGAGTAGAGTCGAGGCACAGGGAGACACAAAAGAGAGGAGGAACTGATGCCCACAGGGCCAAGTGTTCACTGCCAGCAGCTTCTGATTCAGCCTCCATTTCTCATTCAAGCAGGTCTCTGCACATTCTTTGCTGCTCATCAGTCGGACTTTTTTTTCATTACACTTTCAATATGAAACATGGTTGGGGGGTCAAATGATCACAAACTGTAATTAGTTTGAACAACACTAAAGTAATGTATAGATTTAACATGATCAAAAAGGAGTTTCTCTTCAACTGCTCAAGACACTGCATGACACAGAACCCCAGAAAACATCAGATGGCTTTGGAAGGAACCACCAAAGAGATTATTTGTTGATAATATTAAATATACCAGCCAGTAAGGCAACAAATAAAAATAAAAAGGAGATCGGTCACAGCAAATGTACACATACACGTTAAGAAAAGACAGTGAGTGGTGAGAAAGAGAAGGAAGATTGGGCTGTTAGCATAAAGCCCCATATCTTTGCTATACAGGGGGAGTTACATGGTTTTGCCATGATGGCAAACCAAAGATGCACAGAGGAGAGAGGAGGAAGAGGAGGAAGAGAAAGGGCCTAGGCTGCCTGTTCACCTCTTTTTAGGGGCCTGGGTGGTGCGAGGTGGAGTGACAGGTCGACCAGAATTCACACCACCGTACTGGTACTTGGCCTTCTTCTCCGAGGGCTTCAGGATCTTTGAGACAGAGGAACAGATGGTCTACGTGTGAGTGTTTGTTAGAAGATTTTAGCCTAAATTTACCCTCAGAGTCATAATATTTACACTACCTGGAAAGAGCACATGAGAGATTCATCCACACTCATCATGCCGCCTGCGTTGTCAAACTCCCCGCAGTAGTTTGGCGCAGAGAAAAGTGTGACCAGTTGGCGTTTGGCAAAGAACTCGTAACCATCCTCCACAACCTGTTAGAGAACACGTATCATAAACCAACACCTACAGGCAGTCGATACTGAAAATAATAGGTCTTCAGTATGAGCTGCAGAGTCCTTCTTAGCTATCAGGATTAAATCTATGAAACCACCTACGACTAGATCAATAAGAAACGGCAGACAGAGAGACAAAACAACTGCTGCTCTTGTTTTTGTCTTTAAAGTGTCAAAAATCCTTGTCTTAGTGACACACATTGCATTTTTTTAAGTCAATGAACCAAAGTCTGCTGTCACAGATGGCATATGTGGCAAATAAAACAGGTTAGAGTCTAATCACTGTACCTTTTTTCTCTGTAGAAAACTACAATTTTTTTCCATACAGTTTGATGATCTTAAGCCACTCCCAACACCAGCAGCTGTGAACTCCAAGTGACCCTTGTGATTGTAATTGTCCTCATATGCCTTTCATTAAATGTCCATTTTCTAAATGGGATTCTTTAATTAGGTTAATGTTTTGTGGGGGGGGGGGTATTTGGGGAGAGACAAAACCTGACAGATCTGGGTAAAAAATCACTCAAATTTTTGAATTGAGAATTGTTTATTTTTGAAGGTAAAACCCTAATAATGGACACAGCTCCACACTTCATGACAAAACGCTGCTGTAGACGTGTGCTCCAGTTATTATAATCAGAGTATTTTTTTAAACTCCTTGATTTTGTCACCGACATTTTTGTACTATGTATTCACTCACACTCACTCAGTCCCACCCCCCTCCACTGCCCACCCCTCCCATTTTTACCTGGTGAGCTCTGCAGATCAGATCCAGGTCGTGGCGGTTGAGGAACTTACTGACCACATCTGCACCAAAAGTGAAGGAGACTCCGCGGTCGTTCTCTCCCCAGCCTTGTACGTCTTTATCTGGATCTGACCACAACAAGTCACACAGCAGGCCTGGGGCCAGGGAGGGAGAAAGGGAGACAGGTCAAGAAGGAGAAAAGAGAAGGACACACTCTGAAAAGAAGGGCAGATAGCTCCTGGAGGGCGAGGGAAAAATAACCACCTGTGTCAGGAACATCTGTCGGCCTCATGATCCTTCGAATCTGCTCCATTGACTGCAAATCGGGGGACAGTCCTGAAACAGGAATATACGGGGTTAATACATATGTCGCATTAAGTAGATTCAAGCAAGGCAGTGTTTTGTGGCGTCAGGTCAAATTCTGCAGATGTTGCTCTCTCACCTCCATGGCAGCAGAAGATCTTCTCATCAATGATAGCAGCAATAGGGAGGCAGTTAAAGCAGTCAGTGAAGGTCTTCCACAACTTGATGTTGAACCTGCGCTTACCTGTCAAAGCAATCAAACACATGGTGTCATCAACCGATATTGATGACACCGCTGTGACATTTGTGTGTGAACAAGATGACTTTTTCTTCTACCCACACTCATCGTAGAACCCGTAGATGCGGTTGATGGAAGCACACTCATGGTTGCCTCTGAGCAGGAAAAAGTTCTCTGGGTATTTGATTTTGTAGGCCAGTAGGAGGCAGATGGTTTCCAGGGACTGTTTCCCTCTGTCCACGTAGTCACCCAGGAAAAGGTAGTTCGCCTCTGGAGGGAAGCCACCGTATTCGAAGAGCCTCAGCAGGTCTGTGTACTGACCATGGATATCACCTGAGGAGAGTTCACGAAACTGTGTGTTTACAACAAGCGGAAATAAAAATCAAACAGCCGAGGAATCAAGGTGAAGATCAACACAGACTATAGATGCTAGTACTTTGTTGTGCCGACCAGAGTTGAAAAAAAAAAAACACCACCAAGGGATCTCTGGAATACACGGATTTTTTTGTATTGCTTTGGTGCTATAAACTATGAATTCCTCTGATGCAGCTCACTCCCTTTCGTATATTGATTTGGCAGACGCTAAACCAGAAGCTGGTTGGTGGTTTAGCTGTTGGCAAGCTAACTTTCTGATCCTCTAAGGCAGATGTATAACAGAAGCTTTTAAGGACACGACAAGCTGGGTATTAAAATATCGTAAAGGGTCTCGCTTGTCAAGTAAACTTCACTTGAGCTTGATTTTTTTTTAAGTTGAGCCTATGCTTATGTGAAATTAGTGTCTCATAGTGACCCTTATAAAGGATTGGGAGTGATTTTCACTCCCAGTCCTTTATAAGGGTATATAACTCTAAGACGGGAAAAGTTTTTAAATGTTCCTCTTTGAACAACATAATTACCCTCCAAATATGCATACGTACCCACTTCTCTGTCCACATCTACAAGTTGGTGAAAATCAACTGTACATGATTGTGGCTATGTACTATTGTGAAAGCAACAGTGAAATGACACTGCATAAACTGCCATCACAGCAGCCATTAGATAAATGCCATGTCCTGTGGGATTTCTGCTCACTACAGTGGAGAATAAACTCTTTTAAGCCTATCACAAGAAGGATGCACAGTCACATACTGATGCTGACTTTACTTTACTTTTAACTGCTTCCCCAGGACTCCGAGTCGGTGTGTTCGCTCTTGTCTTTGACATCCATCAGAGGATGATAAGCTAGAGGCAGTGTCACCAAAGCACAGCATCTCTGTGTGGGGGTGGCGGGGGGGGGTATCTATTCATCACCTCCCCAAGACCTGCTTCCTTTTATATCTTGCACCAATGTAACAGCTGCTCCACTTTGAGCGAAGCGCTCCAGACACATACGAAGGTAGTGAACTTCATCAGACTGGCTAAGACAATAATAACAGACTTTATTGCGATAAAAACAGAAATCAAATTTATGTGCCACACGGCTTTTTATGGAAATGCTTCATTACAAGACGGCAAACAAATTTAAAATGAAATGGATCTTACTAGATTGTGCAGCTGTCTGGCTGTGAGATTAAAATAGCCACACACAAAAAATGCACGTTTATGATGGAATTATGTGAGCGGTCCATATTTATTTTCTTCTCCTGGTGCTTGTCAGTAATCAAGGCACCAAAACAAAAAGCACAACACAAGCCACAATTGGCACCAAAACCTGAAGGCAACACAGGCCGTGGTATATTTTTGCCCATGTTGAAGGACAGAATGTAAATGTACAATCTTTTTTGGGAAAATTAATGTTTATATGAATGCTCTGTAGTCTTGAGTTTCACTATCAATCATTTAGACATCTGTGGAAACAGAGCCTTAACTTGACATGTACATTCCCCATATATGACTCAGTGTTTCAAAAAGCATTTGAGGTAGGACTAACCTATCTATGAAGTGTAAAGAGATTATCAATTGATCCAAGTTAGGTGTTATAGGAACAGCTTAACCTAAGAGTGCATTAGTAAAAAAAAGAAAATGACACTATGGTGTTCTACAGTCCTGCATGGTGGACAAAATGAACACAAAAAGCACCAGAAAACAATATAACATAATGATAATAACAATAAATATGTCCCTTATTCAACCCACAATAGAGAAATTCACAGTGTGAGTCTCTGCAACCCACACAGGCTGCAAAAGTTTCACTGACTAAATCGGGCTAAAAGACAAAGACTAAATCCAAATGGCTGTCTAATGATAGCTATTAATGCCTCTGTGCCTGCTAGAAGTTGACAGCAGACACCAAATTCTGATGCTGTAAATTTTGTGTAAACAAATTAACACCAAAGTCTAAAAAAAATGCAGATTTCTGGTTGAGTTTTACAGACTCAAACAATGGATTTTTTCCACATATCAATGCCAATCACTATCAGGGCCTTTGGCACGTGCCACACGTACCACCTAAAATAGATTTAGCTTGAAATTTGCAAAATAACATCTCAAATTCAGAGAACTTGTCCAAAAAGAAAAAAAAGGTGAAAAGAACAGAATTTAGGGAATTGCATAATTTAATCCTTTTTTCAAATGATATGGACCCATTTATAAGAACATATATAATTTCAGTTTTACATCCAACCAAATCGGCACTTCTGGTGTGGAGTTCTTATCAAATAAAACATACAGTACTGAAGGAGAACAGGGAACGTAACATTTGTCCCATACTTCTTGGCCATATCCTCTAAGATAGATGGCCATTAAGAAACCAACAATCAATCACTTGTTCACTTATGCTGCAATCTGTTTTAAAAAAGTAAAAAGAATGTAACAGTGAAGCCAAGTTTGAATAAAAGGGGAAGAAACAGACACATGGCAACAAAGACTGTAATCTTTGCATGGCAGCATCAAGGGCGTGAACTTTGTAAAGGCACGGCTAACTTCAGTTTAGAAGCATCACTGGAGTCAATTTGGGATAAACTACATACGAAGAATGTTCTTTCATGTAGGGCATACCCAGACATGTCTGAACTTTATTTATTTTCCTTGCATCAGTTACAGTGCTCTGAGCTTCATATTAGATCAGCTACCATCGGCTTCAACTGGGAAATATTGCCTGAACGAGTGTAATCAAAGTTATTGCAGTGTTTATGTGTTCGCCAGCTCTGCCCAACTTTTATATTTGGTAGCTGTACGATGACAGTGAATTATTTACTCAGTGCGGCATCTGCAATGTCAAAAGAGGCCAAAAATATCAGCACAAGGATTTTGGGGTTTAGAATGTAAAGTTAAAGAGAGAGACCCTAAATCATAGGTCAGCCTTTTAAAGAGAAAATTCTGTCTTCTTTGTTATACGTTTTCTTTGCAAAAAATGTTAATAAAAATTATATTGATGTTTCACGACATATCACATTATATGGAATTATTACAGGGCAATGCTTTCAAAGAATAGAAATAGAAAATAGAAAGTACTTGTCATTGTGACACAGCACACAACGAAATTTGACCTCTGCTTTTTACCCAACACCAGCTGTGGAGCAGTGTGTGGGGACGGTGCCATGCTCAGAGCACCTCAGTGGTAACTGGCAGCTGGTGGACTCGAACCTGAATCCTTTCGGACCCAAGTCTAATTCTTGATCCACCAAGCCACCACAGCCCCATCTGCTCATTGGTATAGCCATGCACAAGGACAGGCGTGGGCAAACTGTTTGACCTACGGGCTAAAATGGGTCCTAAAACTTGACAGGGTGGTCGGGTCAGGAACAGATAGATGGAGCATCAGATAAACTAAGATGAATGACATGTAAAGGTCATGCATAAAGGCTAAACTGTGTGAATTGCAGGGAAAATGCAGACTAATGACAATAAATACAAATGGAAAATGATAATATAAATTAATAAAATGATTTGCAGCTTATTATCGTACTGATATGCAGTAAGATAAACAATTTTGAACTGAAATTACTTTTTTTTTTTTAACTGAAATTTTAAACAAAAAATAACTATTTCCTCTTTACACATGGCACTAAAATAATTAAACAATGAAGTATTATTAAACAAATAAGGTTTAGGCCACACTACCAGGTGTAGTTTGTATCTAAATGTAGGTCTTTTTTATGTTATGTAATTTATATAAAAGCTTTGCTCACTGAACGGTATATGTGATTACATAGTCCATTTTTAAAATCTCCATATATTCTTTTTTCTATTCTATTTTGATATTTATTTTATTCAAAGGGTATTTGCAAAGATTTTAAATACACATGTGAGGTTAAAGGACTTTTTAATTATTATATCAATGTACTAAAATACTGACAAACACTGAAAAAGTGACAAACAAAGCCAAACAAACACTGCAAAAAACAGCAAAGGCACAGCAGCTAAGTCCGTGGTCTCTCTTTAGCTAAATCCACAGGCAACATACTGAGGTAAATACATTCCAAATTGAGCAGATACTACTATTTAGTTTTCATCTGCTCAGTTTATTGCACTGTAAACTGTCCAGATGAACATTACAACCCCAGTCATATTGACATAATATTATCACAAAAGGATTGACAACACTGTGTTCAAAGGTACTGTTGAAACAAGTCCCAGTTTGGAGAGAACCGTGTCAGTGGTTTTAGCAGGTAATTTGTGAGAGTAAAAGTAGAAGCAGGTTCATGTGACTGGAGTTAATAATTAAAGTCCTTCAGTGTGAGGTCTGTGAGCTCTTAAAGCAGCATCAGAACAAAGAAAGTTAAAGGCAGACTGAGAAACCCCACACAGAGACAAAACGCCAGCTCAAACTGATGTATATTTTAGAGCACCGTCTCTTCGTCAAGGCCACCTTTCACACACCTGTTAATCTGTATCACTCTCACAAACACTGACGTTGACGAGCAATGACCAAAAAAAAAAAAATAGGGATGCATGGGTATGGAACCCAATACTTCATTCAGATATTCATATTCAAAAATATGTCTAAGTCCAGCAACTCGATACTCCATGACCGTTTTTCCATACATCCAGCTGTACATCAGTTTCCTACTGCAGTTAGGTGTCTCGAAGGTAGTTAAAAGTATAAAAAAAGAATAAAATATAAAAAGGGTCAACAATGTCAGTGCAGAGGTATTTTCACAATAAGGATGAAGACATTATCCTTAGGTACCCCATTCACCCCATTCCCCACAAAGCTGTGCCACCTGTGCACACAAATGAAAACACTCTAGGACAAACCCTAAATAATATTAGTAAGGATGTGAAGACTGTATCACAATTAAAGAAGGTGAATGTGTGTGGAACATTAAAACACGTTTGACCCTATACAGAAAAACAACAGTCTTTGTACAGCGATTTTGAAAGACTGGCACATGTACAGTGTAGTGACTGCATCGAACTTGTTTGCAGTTTCAGCTTTTGCACTGGGGAGACAGAGATGCATGTGGGTTGATGTGTAGGCGCAAGTTTAGAGATAAAGAGAGTGGGAAGCAGCAAACTCACAAATATGAGGCACTTCTTTTTTTTAGATTTAGGGCTACATTCTGTCGACAACACCAAATGGGGCTTTAATGTATGTATTTTATGGAGTTTTCTCTTTCTCTATCAAGACACAGGTGTAATAAACAACACAGGCCAAGGCAATGCTAGCCTGTGTGGTTACATAACTGAACACTGCGTCAAATAAATAGATTGCTGCTCTGGGCAATGCAAACCAGGTTGTGCTCAGGGCTGTGATGTAGGTTTCTGTTTTAGGTACACTAGAGAACTTAAGTTTTCTTTATGCTTTTTAAAGGTTATAGAGCATTTTTATTGCATTTGTTGCTGTGCAAAAATATGTCAAACTGTGAGTGGTTTTACATTAAAGTCATGCAGGCAGTGCATGTAACAGTTTTATTGTGTGAGATTTAAGTCAAAGTATTTTATATTTTCTTACCTCTGTTTATTTGCTGGATGTTGTAAATTTAGTAAACTGTGTGACATAAGTTAAAAGCAAATGTGTTCAAAGTTAACTACAAAGCAAACATACAAGCTCACAAAGAAGTGAAAATACTGTGTTCAATACAGTCCAATTTCTTCTTAAAGTCTTAAAAAATACACTATCACGGCAAACTTACTGAAGCATAAGAAATTGCTATTTCACCATAGCAACAAACTTAGGATAAAACCTTAATGGGAGAGGATAAATCTCCCTTTTAACAGTCACAAGGCCAAAAAGATGACAGAGAATTCCATTAAACTCAGCTCTGCGGAGGAAGAGATTATCTCTGAGGTGGAGAATGACAGTTTGTGTTTGCTTTTGGAGTCACAGCATATCCTTCTGCCTGGATAACTTTCAGATTCCAATTTAAAGAAGTGTTAAGAAACGTTGGTGAGAATACACAAGGTGTTTTGTTTGAGGGCTGCTGTTTGCACTCTGTCATTTCTGAACCTCACTGAACATTGGACTGCTTAATTCACTTTGAAACGAACTGTAAAGTAATGTTATGTAGCTCAAAAGAGACTGTGGATCTGCAGAAAATAAAATGGATAATGACTGAAAGCGATTTTGATTACTTTTGCATAGTAATGAAATGTGTTGATTTTATAATGGAATACAATTATATAAGTAAAGAAATAATATTTACTGACCACATATCTTCAAAGGAGCCTCCAGCTCCAGTAGGATGGGCTGGCTCAGGAAGATCTCCCTGGATTTGATGCAGAGACCTCGGACCTCCGCCTCTGTCATCTGGACTATCTTCCCTGGACGACATCCCCGTACTGGAGAGGAGAAAAGTTTCAATTATTATTATGCAAATGTATTCAGGCATCATTATAAGTCTACACTGTAGCACCTGCAGGACTGTCTAATTGAAGACATTGACTTGTTTTGACTATGATTGACAGATGTGTCAGCTACATTTTCAAGGGAGAATCCTTTAATTTAGGAAATGCTCAAATAATCATGATTAATCGAGATAACTCAACATTCACAAACAGAAAACAAACATACTTACATCTGATTTGATTAATACACATGGTTAATATTTATTACTCCAGAAAAATGTCAAGAAAATGTGCAATAACAATAATAATGTGTATAACTCAAAATGTGGCTTCATGGAGTCACATGCACTGGAAAACAACCTGGAAGTGGCCTACAAGACCGGAATTTATACCTGTCATCTGGTAAGAACTCATATAAGCCCAAGTTAAAAACAAGATGCTGTTTTTTAGCAATTGTGTCGTTTTTTTCTTTTTTAAAGTAGGTCATATAAATCTCAAATATGGTTTGTACCAAGCAGTACATCGAAGCTGGATTCTGATTTGAAAAGGTTAGGGTAAAAAAGGCTTTCTTGGTTCCATCTATTTCCATCAGTGGCATAACCCATTGTGTTCCAACTCAGTGTTTTAATGGATATGACATGATTTTCTGTGATCCGTTTCCAATTTAAGTAGCAAATGGAAGGTGGTATACCGACTAAAGGTTCTGCCACATCTGACAGCAGATTTAGGAGCTGTAGTGAATAGATTCAGGCAACAGTTACACGGAGTCAGAGTTTATGAGACCAGATAATGTTTGGGGGTTTAAACTTTGTGCCCCAGTTGTCTATTATTTGCCCTTGTTTTTTACTATGGGTAAACTAGTACAATACAGTGTCTAAAACAGTATCAGATAAACAAACACACCGGTTTCTGTTATGTCCTGCAAAATGCTGCTACACTCTGATATGACAATACATTTGACAATATTTCCAGCCATTTTGACAAAAATGTTTTAGGAATGTCACATAAAGTGAATAAAATCAATGCCTGAAGATGGCTCATCAAAGACTAATGCAGAAGGGAAGACAACAAATTCCACCTGAGGAACTGGAATTAATACACATCTCTGTATTACGCTCACTTGCGTGCCCAGAGAAAAAGCTTTGTTAGTGCCAGCGGAAAATTCTTCAAACCCTTAATCATCCTTGTCTGTTTTGTTTCTCTAAAAAACCCAAAATGGATTAACTGTTGATTGTGTCTTGTGTACATGTGTGCAGCAACATTAGTGAGGTAATTTAACCAAAGAGAAAATTCAATCTGAGGACAATGGACCTTTCAAAGTGGAAAGACAGTGTGTCAAAAAGGATCTTAAAATTATTTCATGGACTGTATCTGACCCACCAAGCCTTGAGTTTGACTCCCTGATTGTTCAATAACTATTAATATCTGAGTAGGACCACAAAATACAATTAAAAAAGCATGTTTATTACCTAAACATAAGTAGGATTTTTAGACTTCTGTTTCACACCACACATAACAAATAATAAATTTAACTTTTGGAAACAGTGGAACTATCGGTTTATGTGCTGCATAATGTGGTAAAGTTTAGCCACTGCAGAAATCCTTTCTGTACCAATGATTTCAAACAAAGTGAGGTAAGGAGGAAAAAAAATAGTCACTTGATTGATACATGATTAATGTTTATCTACAGGCAAAGTTTAAATCTATTAGAGCATAATACAAGACGTTAAGTGAAGGCTGAAGACAAATTTCATGCTGGTAGTTAATTAGTGGTGTTGTTTAAAGGCAGATGGCGGCGGTAATCCTGCATTATTGTCTCAATATTTAACTTCCAAGAAAAACAAAGCAGCTGTATTGTGACAGCTTCTTCCAGAACAGTTACCACTGATTCCTTGTTATTAATCAGAGCTCCGCTAAACCTGAATTAGTTAACTTCTGGGGACTATTTCCAAATAGGATCAACATGCAAAAATCTCAGTTAAAAATAACATTAAAAAGAGTATTTACCTTTTTTTTAATTTCAGTTAAAATCAAATGAATGTGATGCATGGTGTAGTACACTGGACTCCAAATTGTGTGCTTGCTCTCTAATATTTTCATTTTATAGCACTAGTGTTGCTTGTAGAAAAGAACGTCTGAAGCACTGTGAATTCTGGCACACTGTTTGCATCTCCAAACAGAGTCCCAGACAGTGGTGCAAAGTATGCCAAGGACAGCTGAATTTGCTGTCGAGAAAATGATCTGACTCAAAGGATACCTCTCAGGGTTCCTAAAATAACAGGTGAACAACCAAAGGGATTAGAGCAGGTCATTGAGTCGGCCAGGTTCAAAACCAGTCCTACACGCCTACACAAAAGCGATCTCAATCACAATGTTTAACAGTAAAAAATGTGACGATGATAAGAATTACACAAAAGATCAAGACAGTGTAACAACAATAATTACAATTATTTTCAGAACATTTTAAAATTAGCTGTAAACTTTCACACAGGAACAATAACCAGACTGGATAACCAGACAATAACCGGACTATTATCCATTAATTATTTACTGTTACCGACAAATTATTTATCTGTAACCTTCTAACTCAACTAAAATGCTTTAAAAAATCTGTCTACCATATTTTTTGGACCCATGAACACAGCAGCAGTGTTCTGCATCATACTGAACCAGAAACGTTCATGTTCAATGTAATTATAAGGGAGATTTGCCTACAGACTTTCTAAGAGCTTGAAAAGCAACATTGTCCAGCTATTTATCTCAACAAATGCAAATGGACTTTTTTCCCAAATATGAATAAGGTTTTTTCTTTTTTAATAGAAATCATTGTGCTGTTCTACTGGTTATTAGATGAAAAGGACATTTAATAAGACCTTAATTTCCCAAAGGGAACTCCCTCACAAGGAGGCAATGCAACCTATTTTCATTTTCCTACTAAGCTGGACTGAAGAAAGGGCAGATGACTGGAGTGCCGCTTTTTGGGGAATGTCTCATAATTACTTGTACTTGAGAATAACTCTGCTGAAGAACACTTTACTCATGGGCACAAAGAAATTGCAATTGGTACATCACTACCTGCGACCAACTTTGAGGACACAATCCAGAGTTTACATAATTGAATTAAAGTTAATCTCAAGTCCAACAAAAGTGCTCATTTTCAGATTTAAAAATGTATCATTTAGTGTCAAACATTATTATTAAAGACCGTATGTGGAGCTAATTCACTAGTGAAAAGTCTAACATTAATGAGGTCACCATTTTAAAATGAACAGTCCATCATAACACTGCAGATATGGAGCAAATGATCCGTGTCAAGGACAGGGGAACTGCTAAAAATAGACGTTGATAGGTTTAGAGAAAAAAAAAGAAATCTATCAGATGTGCCGAAGTAACTTACAACAATAAGAGATCAAATAAATTTATTGAAGAACAGGACTGGCGTCCCCGCCCCTCTTTCTCACAACACACAGAAATGTAGAAAATTAGCCACAATTGATGCAAAAAGGCACAGCAACAAGACTGTGTGGATTCCGAGCCAAAGCTAGGACAACGCCACAGTCATTTTCGTTATTGGGTTTCTAACCGCGTTTATTGTGACCGTCCGTACAAATGTAGGCGTTCACCGCTGTGTTTATAAACAGGGCAGCTAGCAGAGACGTGAAGCGGAGCCTAAAGCGGGGTTTCACCGCTGTGAGACAGAGACGTTAGCCGCCATAGCTCACTCTCCCCGGCTTCGCCCAAGAAAAGCACTTTACTCAATCAACAAAATATCAAGCCGCGAACACGATGAGACCAACCGCACACTGGGTGTAATGGTATAAACTCGGAGATATTCACCTTCCAGGAGCCGAGAGATGAGGCTATCCACGTTCAATTCACCCTCCGCCATCTTCAAACTGATGCTACAACACAGCGACAGCCCGGTCAGTTCCTGTTGCAGACACTGGAGTGCGCTATTGGGAAGAAAGTAGCAACTGTGGATAAATTAGCGAAGGCAGCAGAAACTATTTTATATTTGAAAAAACTGATACAAATCTGTTGATTACGTTTTATTAATGGGCGTAAGACGTGTAACATGTAAATTGTTCAACTGTTTTTTTAAAGATGTTCATACATTGTATTATCGTGTAGTTGTCCTAATCCAGTGGAAATTAGGCATCTTTACAGGTAGAATGTATGTACGTTGTACGATTTACTCAAGAGGTACATGAATAGTGAATTTTCTTTTAATTTATGATATTACATGAATACACATAATAGTTTGATTATATACGTGTCTGTACTCAAGGAGAAAAGTCCTGAATTTTATTTCCACAGCTCTGCATATCAATACAAAACCACAATTTGAAAAAGAACCTGCAATATGATAGTGAATATATATAAAATATATTCAATTTGCTTATATGTATATATATTTGAATGATAGTCAAAACTCTTTTTGCAGCACAGTTGGCTCACAAAAATACTGACTTTTTTTGTGCCTTTCCTGATTAACTTAACTGCTTTTCTAAATGTCAGATTTTAGCTTCAATTAAATGTTTGAAAAAGTGAATCGACTTGGGTTTGATCTTCATAAAATAATTTCAACCTAAAGCCATCATTAAATGGCAATGTCTTATTGCGGTTTGCTCTGAGGAAGAACAAAAAAGCAGGTGCCTGCCCAACCAACCGCAAGACCACCAACTGACAGGACAGCAGCCAGCCAAACCGGCACAGAGTCTGGGCAGAGAGGGGTGAGTGGCAGCGCCGTGCTGTGCTGTGCTGTGCTGTGGGTTGTTGGTGCAACAGTGGTTGTTGAAGGGCTGAGACTGTTCATCTTTGTGAAGACGTATGGATGCTCCTGAAACACAAAGTAACGAGGCCATAAATCCAGTGAAAATAGCTGCAGCTGTGAGACAAACCACAAATGTACCAACAACAGCAAGTCAGAAAGGGGCAAGAGTGACTGCTTTCGTACCTCACCGGGGCATTTGATAGTGGATGATATGAGAGTGAATTGTAAATTCGGTGTACGTCTTTTTTTTCGCCCACAGGTTCCAGCTGACGGTAAAATAAAGATAGAGTACTGCCTGTGTTTTCAGTTCATTTTACGAGCGACAAGCAGCCGGAGATAAAACCAAAACACTTCCTCTGTCCAAGTCAATCAGCCCACAGTTAGCTATCCTGCAGACTCACCATGTTGTTCCACAGAGCTACAGCCATTTCAGCATGTCCCCGTTCACTGAAGTGGAAACAGTCCTCGGTGAAGTAGGTGGTGTCAGGTCTGCCATGCTGGAGTGGAGATAATACAGGTATCAGGTATATTTTAATCTATGGAAGTTAAAACTAGATTTTGCCTCAACATTCCACTGAACCTTATTTGTAATACTGTTCCTACAAAAAGTGTCAGTGTAATTGAGAAAGGAAAAATAAATTTAAAAATAATTTCCCATGCAATGCCCCCTGCTATAGCTCCCTGGCCCCTGGTGGCCCCAGACCCCACATCTCAGAAACATCTAGTTAAGAATTATGATATATTATATAATATTAAATCTAGGGGAACTTATTAAAGGTTTTCCTTAAAGACCCGTAGCCCTTATACTTCTTTGAAAATGGTGATACAAGGAAGGACAAGTGGTGAGACATAGGAAAAAGGAAAAGTATAAGAGGAAGGGAGGGGAAAAACAAAGAGAAAAGGGAGACAATGAAGAGAATCTGGGTTGACTCATGTTGTTTACAAGCACTACAAAACAAGGCCTTTGATTGTTCTTGTTTCACTCAGACAGGGGCTGAAGTAGAAGAGAGGAAAAGTGACAGAATGTGCTCATTGACAGGAAACCACGTCCACTCTCATCTCACTCTCACACCATAAACCAATTAGGGCAGAGTGCCTCACAAGGCTTGATTATTCTGCTCCATTGCTCGGTCCTTTTTTGGACAGTGATATCATAAGACAGCTGTACACGGGGGCAGAGCTTCCTGTGTAGAGCTGTGACGGTGCAGCTCACCGGTCGTAGCAGTACCAACACAGGTCATTGCCTCCAATGAAGAGGGTCACCAGCGTCATTTTGGAAATCTACCGTTTATTTAAATTAAATGGATGAAAAGATTAAAACAAACCTTGCACTTTTTTCTTTACTACTTTACTTCAAAAATAGCTTAAGTAAGAAAGCCTCTTCAGCCCTGAAACACAAAGCAAAGCACATTTATACATAGCACCAGGGCCAGTTTTAAATAAACTCCATTTAAATAAAATATATACTGTAAGGTGAGATAAATGTTGAAGACCCCTGCTTTAAAGTGTTGCATCCGACATGCCTTTTTTGGTAATGTCATCTATGTAATAATAATTGCACTGTTTTTATGAAAGATTACAAAATCTTTCATAGCACACCGTGCCTGCAGGACAGGAAGAGATGCAGGTAAAAATAACTTCTTTTTTTTAACTGTATACTATTTTAACAGAAATTGTGATTGCAATGTGTTACACCAGCACCCTCACAGAGTCATTCTTAATGCTGTCAATTAGACGTCTGACCTGCTGGGAAACCCCTCTAAAAAAGAAACATAAACAAGTAAAACGATGGCACTTAAAAAAACAAAAACAAAAACAAACAAAACAAAAAAAATTGAAGTTTAAACTCACGGTGCTACAGCCCCTGATACGGCCATGTTGAAGCCCCTCTCTCTCTCCGTCGTCCCTTTTGAAGCTCCTTTGACGTCAGGATGAATTTCTTGAGGATGTCTGTACAACAGAAGGTTATCCGACATAAACATAGTTTAACAGTGACACCCGGCGGCGCTTGTGTGAATAACAGTGTCAGCAAACCTGGGAACACCAGAAGCTTTGTGACTTACTGGGCAGTGTGACAGACAGAGATTATCGTCCCATCCGATGCTAGTCAATGTAAAGTACACACGATTAAATAAATAAGGTGAGGCAAACACTGGGATATTTTTGTTCTGTTTGGACTTTATTTGCAACATTTGTTTCCCTTTACCTCCAGGAGACTCCTCTGTACTCTGTTCTAAGATCTGTCAGATTGTTGGCCTTAGCACCAAATCCAGCCTTGGAAAAAGAAGCAGATAAATCCGTCACTCTCATTCTTTTAATTAATATATACAAATATTAAATTCTGTAAAAAACAAAATCCAGATGCCATTGACAACAAACAGTATGATCACATCACCCAAAACCTCCAGTCCTTCATTGTCTCCCTATCTAACAGAGGGTGTTTGTGTTTTTGGACGTTTCTTGTCCATGGAGAGTGACTGCCTTTATCTCTCCAAGAATAAAGATCTTAACCAATTTGCCTGTCACTTTTGTAGGTCTTTTATATATATAAATTGTAATTATAATTGTAATTATATATAAAACAAAATGTCATTGGATTTTGACAGCAACAGCTTTCAGTCACAATATTGACAGCGTTTGTCAACGTTCTCCTTAATTATGAGCACATCACTTCTGCTCTGCTACCCTCTAGTGGAGCTCTGCGGTAGCAGCGTCCGTCATGACCGGATGTTGATAGTAGCTGGCAGCAGCAGCCGAGCTCAACCAGGAACAGCTGAAAAAGAACAACAAAGCCACGACGACAGGACTACACAAACAACAACGGAAACATTTTTGACATTGCCACTGGACGATTATTTCGTGTAACTAAGACAGATTTTGAACGGTAAGAAGTCGTTATTGGACGTTTTAGTATCTCTGTTAGTAAACATATTTCCGTAGCTCATTTATTTCAGTCCTATTCGCAGTTAGCTCGACGGCTACGTGAGCTTAGCTTCTTTCTGGTCGATAAGTCTGTGTAAAAACATGCTCATGTCGCCTGTTGTTTTTCTTGTCACCAGTGACCGTTGAAACATTAGATTAAGTCACAGGATCGCGTCTATATGTCAACATCTAATATGTTGGATATTGGTAGTTTCTCTAGCTTTTGTTGTTGAAACAATTCGAAACGCTGGCGTAATTCACTGAACACAAGCCAGTCAGGAACAGTACAGCTGCTGCAAAGATGCTTTGTGTCATCATGAAACTTCTGCTTTAGTGAATAGAGATTAGAGACTGATAACGCTAAACGGTAAATAAAATTTTGGTTTTACAAAATGTCCACGTTTAGAGATGAACAATAAGTAAGATGTAATCTATCTGGCCGGGCCAGACCCAACCAGTCTGTATTTTTCGTTACATCTCTGCCAAAGTCTCAGGCCAAGATTGCTGCAACAATGAATCACTCTTCTCTTTACTGGTCGTGAAATATTTTTTAAATGAGTGCTGTGTTTGCTTAAGGATACATTGACACACAACAGATTTTAAGCCCTCGACCTCTTCACAAATTTCCATTCAATTTCTGGGTTAATTAAATGTACAAAGATGCAACACCTGTTCACAGTTTGACTGCACACCTCAATATGCTCCAAAACAAATCTTTTACAGTAGGATACATGCACAGTGCCATTATTTAACTACACCTAAGTACTAGAGATGTCCGATATTAACTTTTTGCCGATATTGTCTAAACACTTAATTTCTCAATTATTTTCTGCCATGCTCCCTCACCCTCAGTGGACAGTAGTTGTTTCAACCATGGCCTCGATCTGTATGTGTGTAGTCATGTCAGCTCCAGGTTATCTGATCCACTTCCTAGATATTAAGTGATGGGGTGTGTTGCAGTTTCTCTGGCCGTCATGATGACTCATTATATGAAATCCTGCAGTGTGAGGAACAGGGTGGGAACTACATGGAATGCTGCAAAGTATTTACATGTATTACTTCTAAGGTGATTGACATTCTTCTGATATACAGTATATCCAACTGCAGAACATGTAGTTTGTTTCCCTCTCTTTTAGATGTTGATCTTAATGTAATTTTATTGAATCATATGTTTAAATAAATCACAGAAAAAAATTAACAAAAGTATTGTTTTGTCTACTTCAAAATGTTAGTTATGCAGAGTAAAAACTAGAGACAAAAAAATGGCAGTCTCTCTACAATGGAAAACACCACTATACGCTATATGTGGCCCAATTGACACTATAAGGATTCTAGAGAATTCCAGCATACTCTATATTTCAGAATATCAAAAATTCAATGTCAGTATCTTGTTTCCTCAGTCATCAGCCACGCCCCAGACCTTTGCTGAGATCTGACAATGGGACGCATCTTCTTGGACCACATTGGTGGAACTCGCCTCTTCTCATGTGCAAACTGTGACACCATCTTGACGAACCGGTCAGAGCTTATTTCAACCCGTTTCACAGGTGCCACGGGCAGAGCTTTTCTTTTCAATAAGGTAAGATGCAAGCTGCAATCAAGACTGATTGCCTGTTTCTGAAACTGTTTCATTACCTTCAGCTCCTCCGTAACTCTTCTCAACCCTACAGGTGGTGAACCTGCAGTACAGTGAAGTCCAGGACAGGGTGATGCTCACTGGCAGGCACATGGTGCGCGACGTCAGCTGCAAGAACTGCAACAGTAAGCTGGGCTGGATCTACGAGTTTGCCACCGAGGACAGTCAGCGCTACAAGGAGGGACGTGTCATCCTGGAGAGGGCGCTAGTGAGAGAGAGTGAGGGCTTTGAAGAGCACGTCCCCTCAGACAACTCCTGAGCCTGCAGAGTCTGACTAACTGATGTTGGGGAACTGCTCACGCCCGTGTATTCCCTTCCCTTTAACCCTGTGCTGCATATCGCCACCTGCAGACATAAATAGTCAGTGAATCTTTGGCTGACCAACAATCCCATCCTCCACCTTTCACACACGCACATCTCCTCCTTGTTGTTGGCCTATGATCTTAGACTTTTGCTGATTAGAAGATTGGCTTGCTGGATCTGTTCTTGCCTAGTTGGTCGTTTAACTAAAGAGACTCTCAGTTTACCTTGTCAGTTTACCTCCTCCCTCCTCCATCCTTGAACTGCTGGGCTTAACTGTAACCCTACTTGATAAAACGATCCTGCAAAGGTCATGCAGATTTTACACAGGGCATGTACCACACTTAAACAGTTAAATATATGCATGGTCAAACAAAAACAAAACATTCAGTGTTTGAAGAGAACTTGAGGCAACTGTGTTGAGTCAATCTGTCACTGAAATACAATTGAAAACGGAGATCATTTACATAGAAAGGGAGGTTTGCTACAAAATCTTCTTAGGTTTTTTGCTGTTGAGTTCAGTCTAGTTTGTCTCTGTGTCAGCCTTAGTCTAGTTGGAATGTTGTGATTTCAGTTAGCTTTCAGTTGCCTTCATAATGAATGTAACATTGACATAGGTCCCTGTATGGTTTACAGTCATTATCAAGTGTAATTTCAACATTTTTTTGCCATCAACATTGTGGGATTGAATCCATACTAATGGATTGATCCGTATTGAGAAAACACAGAATTAAAACGTAGTTTTGCTAAATTATACCATTACTACTTCTTACATCGTCTTCTGTGCTTTGGGATCTGTGGTTATTCGGTGGAATATCACCTCAGCAATGAATCAGGAGAAAATGCTCCAGTGCTGATGTGATGGAGGAAGGAAATATGTACTGGGCTGATAGGAGATAATTTCTGGCTGCATTACCGGTGGCCTACATATGGGGTTATGAAAGGAGGGGTCACTAAAGCATTTAAAAAAGTCATTGGGGGACCTGAAAGAGTTTCTTTAGAAATAATTTGAATTCAGCCACACAGCTGGGATTTAGCCAGATTAAAAAGTGTGGAGTATAAATAGACCTGGAATATGATTTTTTAGCTATTTTTTGCCCAATAGTTCAAGCTCAGGCTGCCTTCCCAAGGTGTATTTTTCACATTGGAATTACTGTGTTTAAATTTACTCAAAGAAAACCAGCCTTAATTAAAAAAGTAGATCTTTGAACTCATGCCTGGTCCTCTAACTTGGCCAGAGCCTTCATTTACCATTGGCTGTGATCTGAAATGATGTCACCTACTCACGTACAAAAGAATAGCAATTTTTACAACATTTGTTGTTGTACTCACAGGCCTGCACCATTACAGAGGACGGATTACTGTGGTACCAGAACTCTGCAGCATTCACATTTGACACTAACGTTTCTGCCTTTGCTACACCTTCACTGCAAGTGAAAAAATAAGATAAATTCAGTACGGAGAGAAAAATTAAACTACTCAGATCCACAATTTGGTGTCGTGCACAGTCAGCGACCATGACAAAACATAGTTATCATTTATTACTTAATTTTACTGTTTGAATTGTTTTGTTGCTTTATTATCATTATTGTTACTATTGTTATTTTTATTATTGTTGTTATTTTATTTAGTAGATAGGATTATCTTAGTGTGATCAAAGGATGTAAACTTGAAGAAAGTATTTTCCTGTATGGCTAAAGCAAGATTTTCTGTGTGGTTTCTAAATAAAGACACAGTGTTGCTGGGTGAAATTAATCTGTCATATCTGCTTAATTTTTAAAAACAGTGGAGTGTGACCCAGAAATAGGTCAACTTTACTGGTTGTTTTCTTATTTATTAATGTCTTTTAGTTTGAGAGTTATAGAGAAAACTTACTACTACTTATTTTGTAGATGCTGGTCAATGTTCAACAAATTTATTGATATATGAGCTAAACTAATACCAAGAGGTATAAGTGAAGGTTCACAAAGCAAATAAAATCAAACTAATCAAAAACGACTGAAAGTAAACTGACAAAGCTTTAACTCTACATAAAACTGCCATAATATAACTTAAGAAAGTTGCAAAATATAGCAAAACTTGCTGTTAGCTATTAAGATAGAAATAAGATTACCAGAAGAGATGTTTTTTATTTTTAAATACAATGCAAAATTGATTAACCTTTAGCTGAAATGTAAAGCTTAGGCAAAAGCTAAGTTAGCTAAATGTATATACCATTGATGTCTGCACATTAGCCAAGATAAGCTAAAGTTTGTCAAAATCTTTCGAAGTTTTTAAAAGCAGTTTAAACATAATTCAGGGAATTTAATGGGGAAAAGGTGTTTGTGATTAAAAAACAAAACAAACAAACAAACAAACAAAAAACCCCCAAAACAAGATAAATTCCTACCATGCTGGTTTCTACTGTAGGGCCTTCTGAGCTACGTGCTACTAGCACTATGCGCTAACAAGTATGTCAGATATTTGACAAATAAATTACTAAATTACATTTTTTTACAATAAATATGGCTCACAATATTTCGAAAAAGTTTTTCATAACACCATTTTTTTTTTATTTCAACTTTTTAGATATAAAACTCACATGTCAATTTCCCTCCTTTAGCTCCAACCATACTTCACTTCTTCTTTGGGCCTTAACAGCAGCTAGTTCCGTTTGAGTTACATTACTGCCACCTAGTAGTGGTTTTTGTTACAACTGAAAAAAAGAAGACCAGAAGTAGATGCAACGCTTTGTCCTGTAGGTGGTAGCAGAGCACTGCTCGATGCTGACAGCTACGCATGAAGACATGATGCTGATTCCCTTACCTTCCTCTGACGTTAGCCAGCCAGGCAGCTCTGTACAGACTCACTGCCGGCCAGAAATAGATGACGTTACTCAGTGGAACAGAGAAAAATGAATGAAGTGTCCTGAATTATTAAGATTCAAATCAGATAAAAAGGCAAATACAGTTTGGTCAAAGGTTGAAAGAGGGAAATATAGAACATGTGGGGAAAACAAATAAAAAACAAAACCAAAAACAGACACAACAGCATCCAGACTATACATCCTGTTCAACCCCACCTGTTCTGTAGTGAGAGTGAATCATTCACAATGCAGAGGTTTGAGAGGATTTTGGGTTTAAAAATAGGTGAGAGCGACTCACCTCTCATCCACCCACTAATATTGCAGCGCTGCTGTGGAGTTATTTATAGCTCTGATCCTCTTGGAAGGCTCTTCATCGGTGTGTGTGTGTGCATGTGTGAGACCATCAACAAGAAGTCTGTTCTTCACTCCTGGAGGCGCTGATCACGCTGCTCTAAACTTAGACCTTGCAAATATTAATTAGGTTAGTTGAGGAAAACAAACTGTCCTGATCTATTTCTGCCTGCACTGCTGAGGGCTTACTGCTTTCCCCGCTTTCTTTTTTCTTAAAGCTCTATTGAATCAAGTTGCTTCTTTATCACCATAACTGTTGCCTGTTAAATGCCAGACATGACTGAGGGCAAAAAGGAGGCTCCGTCGCCACAGAAGTGACTGTCCGGCTTTATAATTCATGGTCCATTTTCAGTTCGTCCCTGTTTCACCTCAGGAGTGTCTGCGGTGGTTACTGAAAAAGCCATCTGGTCAGATGACAATAATCCTGTTAGGCTGCCTGTAACTGGAAGTACGTACTCTAGCTTACTGTATTATACTGTATGTGACTTAGTGAACACAGTCAATCATCCACTACCAGAACTTACATGGAAGAACATGGAACGTTCAGGATCTCCAAAGGCCAAAACCTAAAAGTGGATAAGTTTACAGTCATCCAACTGTTTTCACAGTATTTTCAAATAGTTTCTAAGTAATTCAAATCTGAAAACATGAGGAAAAGTTAAGAATCTATACATGTTTTAAAAACACAACATTAAAGTAAATGTAGCCAACCATAGCTAATAAATAAATAAACACAATTTAGATATAATTTCTCAAATGATTCCATTAAGTAGGGAAATCGTTTTTTTTAGCCAAACACGATCATTAAAAGCTAGCTAAAAAAACCACTAGATAGCTAAAGTTAGCAAAGAAGGTAAAAGTTAATTAAGAAAGCAAAATGACTATTCAAACTGTAATTAAAGGCTAAGCTAAAATGTCACAAAAATATAATTATTGATAAATAAAAATAACTAGCACATACATTAAAGCCCAGAGCCAACTACATAATTGGCCAAAGCATTAGAGCTAAACTCTAATTAACTTAATAAAAAATACCCAAAATACATATAACGTGTAGGCCAGAGATAAATTCTGTTAACCAAAATTTCAAAAACCAAAATAAAGATTTTTTAAAAAGATAAAACACAACTTATAGCTAAAGTATCTTAAAGTTAGCATTAATTTCCTGAGACTCAGCATCAGCTGGACGAGCTCACACCATGACCTGAATTAGTGACAAGTTGTTAACCTCACAAAATTTGACTTTGGACATACCTGAACTCTGACCTCAAGAAACATCTGAATGATGCAACCTGTAGCTATCACTCATCCTTCCTTCACATCTTTTTAAACAAACCAAGTGTATAAAAATGTATGAGAAACTAGACCAGACTTAAAACCTGGAAATATGACTGTGCCCATAATTGGCTCATGATTCATCATCTCCAGAGAGCTATTTCAGTTTATTCTCAGCTTTTGTCTTTCTTTTTTATTCCACTCTGTCAGCCTCACACCTCCTCTCTCTGAGCAGTGATATATGGTATAGAAATAAACTCGCTCCCCTCTCTGTCTCCTCACACACATAAAGGAGTGACATCATTCTGTCAGCGGGACAAAATAGCATGCTTTCCATTGACATCACTCCACATCCCGTTGCTAGGAGACAGGGGAGTCAACATGAGTTACTATGGCGACTGCACTTCACCTTCAAAAGCTCCTGACCTTTTCAGTTGTCTGTCCTCGGCTGGAATATGTTTGTGTGTGTCTGCGTTCAAATCTGTGGAGAAAAACTCGAACCCCAGTGTTGTGTAACATGATGCATTCAAAGTCTCATTCACTGCAGTGTGGTGACAAAGAAGGTTTTAAAGCACTGATGACATAACACACAGGGTGATGAGCAGAGGCTTCAAATGCCACTGTGGCACAACACCCTGTGTCATGTACAACATTAGTATCAGTATGATGTCAGTAATATTTTAAACTCACTGTTAAACATGTGACATCACCGTGTATCGAACTCGAGCAGCATCTGAGGGCAAATGTCCTTGACATACCTGGATTTGCCCTTGAAATTCTAGAAATTGGAATCTTTTATATATGATATGATGTATTATGACTGTGCTATAGTAACACTACACTAACTACTGTTGAAACAGAGTGACGAATTATAGCTCGGCCACAGTTTTTGTATAACATGTTAAACGACAAGAATCAAAAATGTTGTAAGATTCCAAATTGAAGACGAATGTAGTTCACCAGAAACCAGCCAAAAAGCAAAATAAAAATATTAGAATGTAACTAAATTTAACACAGACAAGTAGTAGGTGGAGAAAAAGGCAGCTTAACCATTTTTTGTATATATATTTTGTATATATATCTTTTAAAAAAGCAAATAATTAGCCAATAAGTAGCTAACAAAGTCAGTCAGCCATATCTAGAATGCAAATGTCAAGACAATATAGCACAAGAAATAGCAGCAAAATAGCAAGTTATCAAAAATGAAGTTGGAGTCCATGGTAAAATTAATGTCATTAAGGCATGTGCTGAAGAAGCATCAGAAGTTCCATCCGTTAGCTTTAGGTGTGCATGATACTAGCTAAAACTCACTTTTACTACTGTTTACAAACTGTGCAAATAATCTGGTAATAAAACTATTCAAGAACGACTGAGACGTCATATGAGTTGATAGCCTTTGTTTATTCATACGTATGTTTTTTTTCCTGTAAGAAACAGACTCACAACAGCGTCCACTGTTTGTACCTGAGACAGGGACTTTAAATGAGGTCCAGCATCAGGGAGTGATGGTAAAAAAAAAATTAAAATAACTAACAAAAAAAGAGCAACAAAAAAACTAGCACAAGTTAACACGTAACATGTGTACATTCTAAGTTGTTCTCAATGTAAGTGGAACTAGATACAGTAAACTACGACATGCCACTGATAAAATTGCTAACAGCTGATCACAGTGACTGGGGGAGAAAAATAACCTCCCTTACATTAAATACAGGAGCAGCGGATTCATACAAAACATAAGAAACGCTTCGGTCTCCTTTCTGTCAGCTGAGCAGCTGACCCTGACAGAGTTCTCATCAGCGAGATGGTCAGCTGCAGTTGTGTTACAGTGAGGTCCAAACCAATGTGGCTCAAATGCTATCGAGGCCAGTGGTATGACTGGAGCACCACACTTTGATCTTGTTTCAATTTCTGTCCTTTTTTGGCAAAATTGGGAGCAGCTTTGTCAGCTGTCACTCGCTAATTGAGTTTGGTAGATGCATCAATGGCGGACACTCCTCTCGTGAGGGTTACTCAGGCTGAGGTGGGCATTACTGGGTCTTTTTTGGATTAGGGTTAAATCGCGGGCCAGTTTTCCAATTACTGGGTCTTTTTTGGATTAGGGTTGAATCGCGGGCCAGTTTTCCACTCCAAGTCTGGGCCTCTGTGCCACCCCTGCACCATGGAGTAAATGTTGTCCCAACACGACATTCTTCCAAACCCCTGCGCCACCCACGTCCCTCCTCCATGCCTGGCATCATCCATCTGTCCTTTGATTCCCAGAATGGCCACAAAACCTCTTCTGCTCATGAAACCATCAGAACCTCAGTCACATCTTCTGAATCAGTCCTAGTGTTGTCTCAGTGCAATTATCTTCTTCCTTACAAAACTATATTTAGCTATTGTTTAATCACGCCACAAACTGAGGATAAAATATTATCCTTGGAAAACTACATTCACCAACCAGTATCAAATACCCAGACCATGCAATTGGTAGTACATGTAACTGTACACACACTGATAATTCTCTTGGAATTATTACAAAGCCTTTCTCTTCTTAAGACTACTAAATCTGTGAAAGTGACGGAGGATTCACACGTACATCACTTATTGTATACATGGCACCAGCAAATGATTAAAGTTCTCACTGGAGGAAAAGCTAATCACACATGTGATTCAAATAAAAACTTGCATCACCATTTTGGTATACGCATTGCTGCAAAGGAAAGCAATACAAATCAAATATCCTCGGTCTCCTGGAATTACCAGGAGAATTCCCCGTATATCAACAGAGGCCACAAATCAAAGTCAAATAGTCCTGAATCTACAGCTAGCAAGAACGTACTCAAGAGGTACATACAGTAAAGGTGAGAGCGAGAGAGACTCTGTGTCTGTGTGTGTGTGTGTGTATGTGTGGTACTCTGCATGTGTTTATGATGCATGTGCACGAGATGGGGGCTTTCTGTTTGGTCTACATAAAAAAAAAAAAAAAAAAAAAACCCAGACCAATCTTTTTTTTGGTGTGAGAGGGCTTTTTCATCCGTTTTCTCCTGAGCTGAATAACCTCCTGATAAAAAGCATCATTCAAACTGATGGCAACAACTGAAAGCTCATTTAGTGTCAACTCATCACAAAGAAACATTTGGTCTGCTCTATGGCTCTGCTCCATGATAAATGAGAAACATGTTAAAACCCACAACACAATAAGAAACTATATAAAAACCAAGTCAGAGGACGTGGCGACAGCAGGGAAAGGATATCAACAGCTTGAGGTTGTCAAAGGACAAAAACACAGGTAACTTAAAACAGGTCAAAAAAGTACTGACAGTAAGCTGAGTGATTACAGAGGGTGGAGAGACACCATGTGTTGATGATGCGCTTAGCTCAACACATGGATGAGCAACACCTCCCCCCCCTTTTTTTAAGTAAGGAGTGTATGTATTTACACCCTTTCTAAGGCTTGATTCCTGGCTCTAGCCCTTTGGACTGAACAGGAGTCCTCCTTCAGTGTCCAATCCTTCCTGTCCTCCATCCCCACCTCACTGTGTCTTCCCATCCATCTCCTTTTTCCTGGCTCCATCACTGGCAGCCGAGGGTTTCCAATATTTATGGCAGGCCATCTCCAGCAGCTCCATCCCTCCAAACAACTTCTGCTGGGCCACAAAGACTACGACCATGACCAGGAAGTAGATCCTGAATGGTGTCCAGAGCCACAGGCCTGTGAAGCACAGAGCGATAAAGCAGGTCCAGTACACTAGCGAGGCTGCTTTGATCAGAGCCACGCGCAGCTCGGTTTTACACGGGGGCACGCGGGCGATGCCATCTCTGTCGAAACCTCGGGGCTGTCCCGAGTAGAAGTCACGGAGACGGATCTCCTTGTCAGCCCAGCGCTCTTGACACCACGACTGTAGGCCTTCGGATGAGGGGAGAGAAGAAACTGGGTAGCGCCGTACGTGGAAGTGGATCTCTCGGGGGAACAAGCCCAGGATGAGGTGGCGTTCAGTCTGAGGGATGTTCTTGGGATAAGCCACTGTGATGTCATGGACAGCATCCAGATTGTCTCCTAAGAATCAAGGACAAAAAGGCTAAATTAACAAACCTACCAATACTAGAGTGGCTTCAAAACCAGGTACATTTGACCAGTAGATCTAAACAGAATAAAGTGAGAAAATCATTCACATACAGTATGTTCTTTATTTGAGTCATTAACTCACAAACGAGAGGGAAGAAAAGAAAGAGAAGCTTTCGTTGCAACATTTTAATTAAATTTTGTTGATGTGCTAGCCTTACTTAGCCAACTAAAAATAGATTCCAGTGATGCCGTTACTGTCCTGGGGTAAAACAAGTTAAATTACAACAACCTACCCTGTCCTGGGGTAAAACAAGTTAAATTATAACAACCCAATTAGAGCTGTCCTCATCACTGTTCTTCTTGGCACTGTTCTTAGTGTCACTAAGAACACAGTGAACTACCCAGTTTCCATGTATTTAAAACTGAGTGGCTTTTTCCTTTTTGAGCTGCTGCTCTTCAGTTTTACTGCATTCCCCCACTGACCAGACTGGATGCTCATTGGCCCCCAGATAATAATAATTATTAGACCTCTGTATTTAAGCATAACATATCCCCCAATACATCAGTTTCAACAGCCAAACCTCTTAAACATAGCAGCCCTTATGTAAACAGCACAGCTCCAGACATGACACAAGGAGACTTAATATTATCCCTTTTCCACAACCACGGCGGTTATTCCAGCCGCGTTGCACACCCTTTCAAATCCTAGCTCTTAAGTTAAGTAGAAGCGCACCTCGTAATTATCCAGTGGGCTTAAATACTTCATCCCCAGTGTGACTTTACACAGCCTTGGGACTCTATACCATCGCTGCTAGTGTACAGCGTCAGTTCAACACATGTGGACAGTTAAATGATGTATCAAATGTACAGGGCACCTGCCGGCATCGGATCCTGTGGGGCTGAGGTCTATTGTGTAAATATAGAGCCTAGACGGACAGAGTGGACTGAGGCAGGAGCAACATACACGACGGGTGCAATGTACGGAACAATCCAAGACTGATGAAATCACCCAACATTTACAAAACCTGTTTGGAGAGTCAGTAGTAGACTCAGTATCCAGGATGGGTGGAGATTTAAACAGCAAAAACAGACTATGTTTTTTTATATTTAGTCGTGTGTCATCAACAGCTTATATACAGACTGTACTTAGCTGCAAAAATGATGTGTTTTCATTATACATTTTCAATTTAAGGAGTATGAGGGTATTTAATTAATCATTAAAAAAATAACCTAAACAGGGACATAAGGTGACCGTCAACATTTAACAACGTACATTATAAAAAGACAGTTAACACTGTCTGATTTAGACCTCACAATGTTAGAAAAGAAGCTGACTCCTCAAAACCTACAAGGTGACCACTGTAGCTTTATGTATCAGTGCTAATGTTGGTCAATCCTGACCTTGCCGCAGTTTGTCAACGATGAAGGTGAATCCAGTCGTTCTGGGATGCAGCACATACTCCAACTTTGGCAGGTTGTTCTTCTCTGCAAAGGCGTTGCTCTTTGCTCTCGTGTTTTCTGAAAGGAACACAGGTGCAGATGGATTATAGCGGAAACCAACATTTATCAAAGGTCAGTGCTTTGGCTCCGACCCTAACCGGAACCCGTGCTGCCCTTAGGTATAGAACTAACGATATCAAAAAACGGACCAGGAAATAGTTTCTGTCCATAAATGGACAGACTCTCAATAACTCCCAAATATACCCACTCTGTGCAAATGATGGTGTGTAAATTCTTATACAACACCTTTTAATTGTTTTTGATAATTATACATGCAGCTCAGTTCTCTGGAAATCCAAAGCGTGAAAATAAAAAAAATAAAAAAACTTCTGCTTATTATCCAGGATAGACAGTTTTCACAGAACATTTACGCAAAAGCCACGGTGACAATGACAATTAACAGAAGCATGGTTCTGTTAACATAATTCACCCTTATTTCTAGATAAATTACCCATACTAAGTAATACTTTGTTAAAGGGACCAGGAAACTGGGCAGTGATCTGAGACAGCTATAGCATATAAAGTCTCATACCACTGAAACCATGTCAGAACATTCCGTACACTTCCTCTTTAGCCACAGTGTTAAGGAGACTTAGCCGCAGATACACATCCCCTCAAAGGCCAACGCACCATTTAAAGTGTAACAGTCACCGAAGCTGCTGATCAACTGTTACGCAAACAAAGTCAACTCTTTGTGACATAATGAAATGTAAAGAGAAGCTAAGCTTCCCCTGGAAAAGCTGCTCGGGACGTTTGATTGGCTTAATTGTGATCCGAAAGGGATTTGAACATCTAGGACCAGAGCATTCCTGCCACTGCCTGGGCTGTCTGTGTGTGCGTGCGTGTGTGTGTCAAGGGATTGTTTCTGTATTATCACTTTAAAATTGTGTGAACACCAGCGTCAGCACATTGTGGAGAAACAGGTGTTTGACCACACTGAGCTTAATAAAAAAAAAAAACAAAAAAAAAAATCCTACAACATATGCTGAGAATAACAACTGCGTTTACAGGCAAATGGTTGCATGTACGTATGGATGGAGTGATGCAGACTGTAAGTACCAGTTAGGTCTGTGCCCTCGGGGAACAGCAGCAGCTGCAGTGGCTCTCTGATGTCACAGAAGTAGTCCAGCATGTTCTCCAAGTGTTTCTTGTCCTCTTCCCATCGACGATGAATAAAGACAAAGCAGGCCACCTGCATTGCCCAGCCTGCAAGATGGATAAAGTGCCACATGTTAACATGTTGGGCCGATTAAGTCTCGTATGTGACTGACTTACCATGACTCATAAAAACTGGTAATGAACACGAACTTACACATTTAAATGCAAATAAAAAAGGACTCAGCAGTTTGGTGAATCACTTTACTAGAAAAATGTTTAAACTGTCAAAACCAATAAACAAAGGAAAGACTGCTGCATGTGAAAGGCTCAAAAAAAGCCAGTCTGTCTAATGCAGTGGTTCTCAAACCCTTTTGGTTATTTTTTAAGGATCCACCTTTTCCAGTCACCCCAACAAAAATCTTAAGAAATTACATTTAATTTTTTTTAACTAACAGCATGAAATGTTATACTACAAGGTTTTGGGATATTTGTTCAAGAAATTGACATCTGGCATATGGCGATATAGTATAATGGAACACATGGCTTGTGTCAACAGCAAAGTTCTGTTCAGAGAGATGTATTGTATTCTAGAATGCAGAGGTGTTCAGGTGCGAGTACATGCGCGAGTCAAAATGTATACACACCAAATCCAGGCACCGCCTTGAGAATGGCTTTGAGGCAGATCTTCTCCAGACGCAGGTAGCTGTACCTGAGCAAACAACACCAGAGGAACATCCAGTCCAGGCGTGTTCGGTGGTTCATGATTATCACACTGCGCTCCCCTGGGATGAAACCATCACCCGTGATCACAACCTTCACACCAAACACCAGCTCTAGTAAGGACTAAGGAGAGGGAGAGAGAAAGAGAGGGAGAGAGAGCCTCAGTGTTGGAAGAAAAACAAAATTAATGGGAATGGGATGGAAAAGAAGCTAAATTTGTTGGAAAACATAAATAATGCCACCCATTATTGAGGTCACCGTAGACTGATGATTTTCCTCGAGGGCAAATTGAACCAATTTGAAGTGTGCTTCTGACAAAAAATAAAATCCAATTAAACAGGGAGGAATAAATAAAGCCGAGATGACGCAGATCACCATGTCAAAAGGTACTTAAGGTTACTTTAGACTATCTGGCACACAGACAGTGGTAGGCTGAGTCAAGACCAGGCTGGTGTACACACCACAGGTAGCGTCAGCCACGTAGCCACAATGCGATCGGTGATCCAGCGGTACCAAGCAGGAGAGACCAGCATGAGTGGCAAAACTGGACCCAGCATGAAGATGCTTCCAAAGAAACTTCCCAAAAACAGGGTCACCATAAAGTACAGGCCCCGCACCGACACGGCCATCTGTAAAGAGACAAAAGAAAGATCCAAGACTGAGCATACTTACTTTAGGGGACAGAATATGTATGGTAATGGAATTTACAGTAGTCCTAATTTGTAACTTCTCAGAAAAGAAGCTGAGAGGTCATCAATCCCAACGGCTGCTGCCGCTCTGTTGTTTCTTTGACAAATTTTCCCACAAACAGTGGAAAATCCCAGGCAGACATTCCCAGCATGGAATGTAAATAGGAGAATCTTTCTTACTGTGGGTAACAAATTGTAGGTGCATGGTCACTAAATAAGAGTGTGGCTGTGGCTTCGGAAGAATTCCCTGAATGTGCAGTCTGCATACGCGTGTAAACCCTGGGCCAATTTTTTTTTTACTATAAAAACCAAAACAAGAGCTACAAACAGGTAGGACCAGGCTCACAGCTGCCCCAGAGTCACTTGGAAAACCGTGGTCTACAGAGGTCATGAACGTCAGACTTTCGTTTGATCTTTTTTCATTACTTTCTCTCTCATGTTTCTAAAGTGACTAACAATGCTGGTGTTTATTTGGTTCTTTGTTTTTGTTTTCAGCAGATGGGCCTTCCCACTGGGCCAATTGTGATAATTACATTATCAAATTATGGTGCAATATACAGCATTACACGAGATGAGGACCACCCCTGATTCTAGGGTTTCTTCCCCCTCTTTGATCACTTTTTGCTCAGTTAATAATTTAAAATCCCATTCATTCATTTATGTCTTTCCATCTGTGCATCCAGAGAATTCTTTTTTTCTGTTTAAGATGTTTCTATCAACTGCTTAAAGGACCTTGGAAATAATTAGTTAAACATTTAACAACATTATGATGCTAATTGTAGCCATAACAATCATCTGATCAACCAGCTAAAATGATAAATGATTGACTGTAAACAACTTTAAAGGTCATAAATAGGTATTAAAACTATTAGATACTGACTACTGGAACTTGATAAAGTGTTTCCAATGAGGCCATCGCTGACTACTGAATACTGTATATGAGCGTGGAGTACAGCCATGTGAAGAATACGGACATACAGTGGAATACAGTAGAACCCTGTCCCTCCTACTGCATGGCTGCCTGCTACTTAAACAATATAACACCGTTCAATGTGATTACATGTAGTGGAAATGTAAAAAAACAGACACTTTTTCTCAAAAATCAAACATTTTAATCCTGCACCGTTTGGGGCCATTTCATTAATGTATTTGTATTATAAAATGTTTTTTAACCCAGTGGCTGGAGGTCGACAAAGGTGAAGCTGCCTCCAATTAGGAAAGCAGTCTTCTGCCTTGCTGAACAGGTCGAGCAGCCTAGCTGCTTTGCAAAATTAGGCCCAGCCAGTGACAGTTGAGCGGCCGACCCATGCACTGCGAGCCAGACATTTCATCAAAAAAAAGAAAAAAAATGGTATTGCATTGTGCCGTTTCAATGTTTTTGATAGGGAGATTCTGGTTTTCTTTATCAGCTTTAAATATTTCTGCAAAAAGTGTGTATTAAGTAGGGCTGCACAATAACTTTTTTTTAAAGGTCCATACCAATAACCCATCACTCTACTGCCTTCAGTGGCCAATACTGATAACCATTAACATACCTGGAGATATGAAAGACTAATGAACAAAAGATAAATCATAACATCAATACCATGAACAAAACCAAGAACTTGAGTTTTGACTCTTTAAATGACTTTTTCAAATGAAAAATAAAACAACAAAAAATTAATAAAATAAATAATAAAAAAGTAATAATAATATATAAGAGGCAAAAAAGTGCATTCCTCAAAAACAGAAAAAAAAAAAATATTAAATAAAAATAAAAGTATTAGTGTTTTTTTAAGTATTTTAAAATGTGAACCACTAACAATGTGTTTTGGTTTAAACAAAATTCTGATTGGTCTTTTGGATTGGACTCCATTTCTCCACTTTTATTTCTTTATCTGGTTTGTTTATTTTTTATTTTTTAGTGGGCTTGCCTTTTGTGTGGAGTGGTGTGTGTCACAATGACAAGTAGTTCACTTTACTTCCTACTTTCTTTACAAGACTGGACAAGGATTACTGAACTTCTTCTTGTAACCAAGCAAGGCAACTTCAGAGAAAAAAAAAACAGCAAATGGAAATTATTAACAATGTAAAAACACAAACAACAACAGTGTCTGACGTCAGGACTCTAGATCAATGTGAATGGAAAAATATTTTTAATTAGACACTGGTTACGCATGTCTCCAACAGTCGCTACAACATAGCAGAAATACCAAAAGGTTATAGAAGACAAAAAGTAATCCTCTTAAAATTCAACACTTACAACAACTGTCCTTATCAGTTCTGACACTATATGACAAAAGCTCATCCGTCTGGTTTGACTCGTGGCACCTGTAGCTTATCAGTTCTTGCACTGTTGTGACCACAAATTTGTTCCACCTGATGTTTCAACGTCTAAAAATACTTTAAAATTAAGCCACTGCCTAAATAACTATTTAATAGAAGGAGACAAACAGGTTTTCAGTAACAAGCCTCAGGAGATGAAGTTTGAAACAGAAATGCAGTGAGTCTCAGCTGATGCTGTAGCTGAAGCAGCTACTACTTATCACTCAGTAGATTTTTTTTTATTATTTTCTTTTTATATACCCATGATTCATGCAGTTCGACTGTAATTACTGTTATGAGTGCAAAAGAATTTGGTCCAGACATGCTGACCTCATAATCCTGTTTCTGTCAACAACCTCGGTGACACCATGATGCGACAAGTTTTAAGACAGCAGACAAAGGGGAAAAAAATGCATGTTGGTTTGTGTGTATTATAATAGTGGCAATGAGGGTTACTGGCTTTAATGATGGAAAATGTGAGGCATGAGACAGGTGAGAAAACAGGCTTGCTCAGCACAACTGCCACAATTAGACTATGCCCATACGCACAGCACGAATACACACAACACACACCCTTGGGCGGCTCCTGGAACATTCAGAGTTGATACAAACACATTAAAGGAGGACAACACTGCTGGATCAAGACACATGACAAGTGAATGGAACTGTCAACATTTAAGTGTTAAATAAAAAATGTTTGTTTTTCCCCCACTTGACATCAACACTCATGATGCAAAGCCAATGGGTAAACCCTTCTGTTTTTTAAATTCAATATGTGTGCAAAGTGGTAGTCTGGTTTGGTCCCTGTCTCATAGTTGTTTAAGATTTATTTAATTACCACTAAGATAGAAATCCTGAAAGTAATTTCACAGACACACCAGCAGAGGCGGTAGACAGCAATCCTTCTCATCATCCAAGTCTGGATTCTCTGGCACTGCTTTTGCATTCCTCACTCAAAGCCAAGACCAGACTCCACAATGAAGCAAAGCAGAGTTAAGAGGTGAAACATGTCTAGGCTAAACAACATACGTAGTTGGACTGTGTGTGTTTGGATGAGACAGACAAGCAAGAGGGGAGAATGGAATGAAGATAAAACAGATAATTAAATTGCAAATTATATTATTAAAATAATTTAACTATATGTTTATTTGTGCAATTATGTGTATTCTTATCACACAGCATTTGTCATTTCAATTAACGATCACTTACACCTGATTTAATTAGCTATAAATCTTGCAATCTTACAATCAGGTAAAAGGAACAATAAAGGAAATGGTTGAAATATCTGCAAATGTACTATTGTTGGAATGTAATGTATTACCACAGTTTATTCCAAAAGCAATGGATTTTTTTAAATGGACAACATGGATTTAAATGTTTGGAAAAACGTGTTGATTCATATTTGTTTAAGACTTACTGACAGGATTGACAGGATGACTTTGGTATACCTTCAAGTGCATTTTATAAACAAATTATGATATTTAATGTGTTTAGAGGCCATTTGACAGAAGTAATTTACAACAAAAAGTAACCTGTGGACAATTTGACACACCTATAAAATACTAAAAGGAAGTTTGCTGGCGTCAGCAGTCACACTGGTGTTTTCATCAGTTGACAATAGAAGCCATGTGAGCACATTTATGACAACAGAAAAGGCGGCAGGACAGTGCATGCTGGCTGATATTCGAGAACACATACTCACGAACTCTCGCCTTGGCTACTCATTTTGACCAATTCAAGTGTCACATGTGGGATCACACTAACTTTGTCCCCAAACTGATCATCCTTGGCTGTTCCTCTGATGAGCTTATTTATAAGCATGTCCAACCCTGTGAGCTGTAGCTCAGCTTTCTTCCATTAGGACGCCACTGTCTCCAGGTCACATATCACAGGTCTCTCTACAAACCTGTACTTCACCACAACCTCACTCTGGTGTTTTGACTCATCCTTAAAACCTCCAATGGCTTCATCTTAATTCGCTGGCATGTTCTGCCCTGTTTTATCTGACTTTGTTTCTTATTTCACTATGGCATCTACCTGACTTGCAAAACAAAATTAATTTGATACAAGACTACTGTCCAAAATCAATGGTTGAGGTATTGGACGATCTTAATCACTCACGTGATGAGTAAATGCAGAAGACAAAATTAATTATCTATAAAAACGTTCAATGACAAACCATGTTTCACTTCTTATCTTAAGACAATGTCCCTCGACTCGGGGTGCGGCAAAGAACGAGAAAAAGAGAGGGAACATGGGTAAACAACTAGAATGGCAACAAGGTCTAGTTAAGGTTTAATCTGCATCTAATGGGTCACTTACACCAGCGTTATCCAAGGTGCAACATGCCAAGGCTGTTCCCTAGTAAATAATTAACAGGACCTTAAAAGTTTCATGCTAATAAGCTAAGAAGAGATAGGAATAGAACATTGACGGTTCACTGGTTTCTGGTAGCAGACGTTAACCCCCCAAATAAGTAAAAATCAGAATACTAGTACCACTAGTAGTGGTTATGCTGAGCCGAAAGACATTTTAATACATGGAAATTGATTTTTATGTCAGTGTCATTAAAATTGCCACTGACAACCACGCTGACACAAACAGCAGCTTACTGCTAAAAGCTAACTAGCCAGTAAAATCTTTATGTAACACAAATACTGACAAATGCCAGAAAACCTCTTCGTGGGAAACGTGACGTTTCCTTATTGTACTCACCTTGACAGTTTCCAAAAGAATCACAGCTTTGTTAGTTTATTCGCGTTAGCTCCGAGTCCAAACACTCGGCTGTGACATAGCAACTCCTAACGCTCATTAGCTTAGCAGAGGATAACTTTAGTGATTAAGCAAAAATAAAAATGTCCACCGACGAACGCATTACCACTCAACAGGCTTCTTATATTCCGCAAAAGTTTACCCGGGACTGGTGACTATAGTTCAGTCTCGTTTGATTCGGTATACGATCAGTAAAACTGAAGCTAACGTTGTAGCAGCAACTGTCATGCTGCTACGCTAAAGCGACCTCTCAACCTGTCACCTCTCACCTGTCCTTACACTTCCGCAACTAAGGGGGCGCTAGTTGTGCAAAATGCACGCGGAAAGCAAACCGTAGGCTGCAAAGCAGGAACAAAGCTGTGTCCACTTTCTAGATTTGACACACTCATAGGTACGAATATGAGTTTTCTCAACATTGTGCATTTATGACCACAACAGTCCTGATATTAACTGAAAGAAAAAACAGTTATAAGGTAGATAGCGTAAGTAGAGATCAAAGTATTATTATACTTGGCGAAGTAATTACTACCACAACTAATTCACTTATAAAGTATAAAGACTAACTACAGCAACTTCCCCTGACGTTTCTGTAGAAAGAGCAAGAGTTAATTAAACAATAAGAATGATTAAAATACCAATGTTATTTCTCATATGCTTCTATAACATCTATATAGCTGTTTCAGAGAACTATCCTTGTACAATTGTGGTTCTTTTGCACCGGGTCATAACATGTCTCGTCTGGTATAAAACTTGCTTATTTTTAAACATTGACAATTTTCAACAGTTGATTTAATGCACCACTTGACAAAGAAATAATGAAACAAAATGTCAGATCTGTTTGAATTGAGTGACGAGTCTTAACATATATTTGTTAATAAAATTTGGAACCCACCGTCATCCGAAACCTGTCAAAACTGCTTGCAGGCAAATGTTTACAGGCAAAACATGAGTGCATAAATGAGAATACAGGTTTAAATGTAAATTATATTCACTATCAACCATAGTCTCTCAAAGTGGAGTCTAAATTGCAATATAGAGATCTTTATTGAAAAAACTAAGAAAATTTACTTTTGAAATAACTCTTAAATGCTACACATTTTATATTATTACACTTTCTTTTGACTTATCTCACTGACATTTTGCCAGGAGGTATAAACAATGAAAATGAATGACAGGAACTCCCCATAGAACAGGGCCATCACTGATGTTATCAGGAACACCTGGGCCTTTTTTCCATGACAAGTAGATATGTGTGCTTTGGAAAAACTTTGCATGGGTTAATGAACAAGTCCGCACAACACGTAGTCTATCATTCATACCCTTTGGTTTAAAGATTGAACAAGCAATAGGCTACACATTCTTTTGAACAGAATCTTGACTTCAGTCCAGGAAAATTGAGACCTCCGCAGTTACATAAACGTCAGTAAATATGTAGATCATACGTATCTTTTGTAGCTACTTTGTGCGCTCACTAATCCCCCTTTCAGAGATTTGCTCATACAGAGCCTGAAATCCCGGCGTTAATAATGTGTCACAACTCATTCAAACGTCAGGTGCTGCCTCGGCGATGTACTTTACTGTACTTCTTGACCCAGTCTCTCCACATAGCCTTTTAAAGTAGTGTAAATCCCTCGCATGTGTCATATGTTTCTTTTACCCACCGTTCTGAGCTGTTCTACTGTTACAAATTACCTCAGCATTCAGTGATGTGTGAGCGCTCACACTGGTCAATGTGTCTGAGTCCATCCGAGCATGCACACGAGCTCTCTTTGTGTATGTGTGCAGTGAGTGAGGTAGAGAACGAGGACTGACAGACACGGTGAGAGAGAGAGAGAGAGAGAGAGAGAGAGAGAGTAAGAGAGAGGGAGAGAGAGAGCACTTCGGCAAACTCAAGACTTTTCCATGACCTGCTCCCTGTGGCATGCACTCTATCTGAGAGACTGAGTGAACTATTGCTTTATCAGTATAAACTTCTCAAGGGTCAACGCATCACTTCTGTGGAGATTGGAAAAGCTTTGATTCAAAACAAGGTCTAACCCCCCACCCCTTTTTTTTCCAGTTTGATGCCAACTCACCTTCACAAGAGACGTACATCTACAAGATTTATGACGCTTAACCAAGATAATTTACCTAAAGCAATACGATCAAGTTCTTCTAATCGTATTTCGAGGTTTTAAGAAATTCCAACTATCCTAGCCCTCTGGTAAGAAGTTGCAGTTGCTTTAATCCAGCGAAAGAGAGCATAAAACATGTTCACTCAAGTTACATTGGCTGATTTGACAGCGTAAGACGCAAGCCAAGTGAAATGCTTTTGTTTACGGCAAAGGTTCAGATCTAATTAGGAGATAAATGTTGAGTGTAACAAGGTGAACTGAAGTTGGACATGCCATTCCATTTTCGGTCTACTAATAGGACTTTAAAAATGATTTATCTGAAAAAAGAACAACTCTTCTAGTTTGTTTTTCTTCAGTCATTCTTCCCTCTAATGACCTTACACACTTTTGAGGGTCATGGATGATTTAACTTGAGTCTTCCTCTCTTTCAGTGGAGTTCCTCTTCAAACTGTCAGCATGTCCTACTCACTCACTTGAAGCTTAACAGCACATGCTATTTTCAGTTGTGCATCCTCATTTATGAGTTTGTCTCCATATGTGCTCTTGTTCTGTCCTCTCGACCCCTTTCTGTCTCTTTTTCCACGCTGGTCACTTTGGTCAATAAGGGTTTGAGTGGCAGGATCGTAAATGTCTATTTATAACAACAACAAGACGGGAGAACAGCAGCCCGTGGCTTAGCACATTAACACGCAAAACCTCAGTTATACAACAGATGTCATCTCTTTGTATGGATTTTAGCTTCATGAACTGGAGGATGAAATGTAGAGGTACCTTAGATGAAGATGTACCTGATTCAGTACAGAATGAATCCCAGGTTGTTTGGACTTGTTTGCACAAATGCTTTAGCTGTGAGTCCAGCATTTGGTAGCATTACATCATCAGGTCAAAACAAACCAGTATAGCATTAACCTGACTCCTGCTTGCTGTTTAGAAGAGGTCAGATTAAATAATATAAAAATAGCTGAAGAGAAACTGCTCTGTCTATGAATATTAACACACTACAAATTAAAATACCAAAACTGTATGTAAGTACATTTAAACGGTCGAGGAAGAGAAATTGAAAATGCCATTAAATCCACCCAACATGTGCTTGGATAGGTTTTCTTTTTTTTTTTATAAAATATTTTCATGAGGTGGACATCAATTTAAATTTAAATTATTTGTTCTTCTTTGAAGGAGAGCAGGTTTTGCAGGAATTCTTTCTGAGGATTAGCTGTGGCAATAGTAATTAGCCCAAAATAGTTAGGTGTTAAATAGCTTAAGTATTGCTGGAAATGAAATTAAAAGCTAGGTCAGACAACCGATATGCTGGAAAAACAAACATTTTATTAGTGGAGTAATAGCTAAGAGATGGTAGCATTACATCATCAGGTCAAAAACTTTAGATTTGTCCCAGTCTGATACAAAAAAGCTG